TCCTGAAAGGGAACCAATAAGGTTAGTAAGGGGAACCTCGGGCCTTCGTATCTCAGAGGAGCCAAAGGAGGAACAGCAGCTTACAGGAACAATCAGCCCTTGCCATGCCAATAAGTTTGATTCCTCAACTTGAATGTTTCTGAAGTTTTTCATTCCAGACTTGCGAATCTCATCAAGTTCCTGAAAGAACAAGCACACAGTTGATATTAGAAAGGTTATTACAGTCAATACAACATGTATGGTTTTACAGAGTTCGTCCTCTGCAGTGGAAGGATGCACCACCCAAATGACCCCACCAGTTTAGGACAGCGTAGCAGGAAGACGCAGCCTCGTCTCTGTTTCAGCCTCCAAACTACACACCAGGTTTTAAACTGCGCTGAAATTATTTACAGCACGTTCTCTCCTGAATGTGGATGTGAAGTCTAAGCAGGAAGTGAGAGTAAAGAAACAACAAGCGGATGTTGGTTCCTGTTATCCACCTCAGAGGCCCCCAGTACTAAACAGCACCTCCAGTGTTTTCAGGTAAAGAAAATTATATTAAGCTGATATACAATGAAACATGTCGATTAAAACAAATGACAAACCAACTGCAACAAACATCTCAGCTTTGTAGAGAAGTGTTGTTGTATATCGTAGATGTGAGGATGTGTTCAGCTCCATGTTTTATTCACAGTATGTGTCCAGTGACTGTTAAGCTCTAAACTGCTTTGAACTATTTTATTGCATAAAGTAGCAGCGTTGCACTTCATCTTGTCCTTATTCATCAAATGCTAAACAAACTCAAGCCTTCCAGCCAACAGCAGCGTTTCTCTTTCATTTCAGCAGCAGCCAACAGTGAAAGTGAAAGTGAACTACACCTGCATCCAGCAGCACCACAGTGAACCTAGTTTTCCATCAGGTTACTGGTTCTGTCACCAGTTTGACTTACGTTAGATTACGTTAGCTATTAGCTGAAACCCCCTGAGTTAACTTAAAGCAGCCTCGTGGTTCCATCTGTGGCAGCTCGACGGTGTAAATGCGTCGAACACGTTTTTAGGGTAAAGTGATTGTGATTAATAAACAGCGTATGACCCGTTTATGGTCCAACAGCACCGACGTTTGTTTCACATGAATGAGATCCTGTTAACGTTAATCTGCATGTTCGCAGTGAAAAACTCCACCTGCACCAGTGAGCCGGGTACAGGCCAGCTCTGCTGCCCGTGCTTCCAGCTTTGTTACTCCGGGTAAACTTCAAACACACAGCCTCCTGTAACCCCTCATTCAGCGCAGTGTACGTTTAAAGGCGGAAACGATAATCACGGGGAAACAAACGTAGGTTAACGCAGACCTTACGCAATATGCTACGACCACTACACAAAACGAAAGTAGCATTTCGTGTGTGTCGCCTTCAGGCCGCATTACTGGACGTGTAACGCTGCGCTGTAGTTCACACCCACTTCCTAATGGCGAACTTCAAAGTCTGATTAAGTTGAAGTGAAGCTAGCTGAGACCTGCGGATAGCAACTTAGCTGATTAGCAAACGTCTTATGCCGTGGAAATTGACACGATCTCGGGCTGCCCACTGCCGGATTGACTCCCTCGGTCACACAACTCAACAGTTTCTGACGTTCAAACTGTAGATAAGAGACTTGAACGAGGTTTTCGGCAGCCCCGGGCAGGATCCCCGTAGATCCTCCGGCCTGATTTGGGACTGCTTAGTTGCCTAACGTTAATATTTGGTCGGCTAGGTGGTCGGTGCTGACCTCTTGTTTCTGTTGAGCCTACAGCTACAGCTGGACACTGACGGTCACTTAATGCAAATATACTCTGTAACGTGAACACGAGCCGAAGGACGGACGCTTCCGCTAACCGTCAACGCGTCCTTAAACATTAGAAACGATCAAAAAGAACGGCAACGACGGATTTACCTTGGCCAGCCTCCTGCTCGCCGCCATCTTGAAACTACTGTGTGTTCCCAGAATTCACCGCGCTGGGAATATGGGTCTGTTCCTGCGCTGAGGCTGATCAGCTTGGACATCCGCCTGTTTGTGAACATGCCGACACGTCCACGCCAGGAAGCGACGTGTTTAAATGCGGAATATCTGTAATTATATATGTTACAAACATGTTGGGCTGTGAGCCGAGGGGGGAGTCTGAGCCTGAACCCAGCTGTGACTGCTTCCGCTTTATTTGTTAGTATTAATGCAGGTGTTCGCCTGAAAACGCACGATGAGTTACACCTGTATGAGTCAGCTTGTTTAACCCTCAGCTCTGCCGTCAGTCTGTTGTGATTGGCTCGTGCGACAGTCATGGCAGAGAGCAAAAAGGTTCCACGTGCTTGTGCAATACTTTCACCAATAAAGTTTTATTTGAGTTCATGTTTCTACTTTAATATCACGTGCAAATCCATGTTCTCCCTGCACTTTCGTTCTAAAGCGTATGAACATCTGTGAATCTGTCCATCAGCACTGCAAACAAGTACAGAGCACGTTTCTGATGTAACCCCCCCACCCTGAGCCGTCTGTCACTCCTGCTGCACACATGTATGTGCTGCACCACCCTGCTGTACAATGACCATCGTCTCTCAGTATAGGATGATGTAGCTCTGCAGGTCATCCTTGTACCTGAACATTGAAAAGCAGTAGTCCACCTTCAGTTTGAATATTCAGACTGCATCGTCGCACCTCATTTATAAACACTGTGTTATTAGAAATGATTAATTAACTTTAGTCTGATGGCATTTATGTGGCTGTAAATTCTGTTTCACTGTTCCACTTTGCTGTGACAGCACTGAGAGAGCAGGACAGAGAGGCTGAGAAAGACAGAGCTAAGAACAGGGCAAGATCTGACACGTAGTGAAAGATAATACACACCAGGGAAGCTTCTGTTTCACTCATGATGATTTTATAGAACTAATCGGTGTGTGTGGACCACAAACCTGCTCTTATAACAATATGTTGATCGTCTGCAGTGGCGCAGCGTGTGGAGTGATCGTGGCGACCCAAACACAGACGACCAGACGCAAAACTAGATTTTGACAAATGTGTGTCGTTCATTATGGCCGATAACAAAACATTAACCAAAAGACAAACTCCTTTCTTTCCCTAAACTGGGAAAACTACAGACATGAAACCGAACAGTCAGAAATACCTGAACACTTGCATCAACATAGGACTGAGGACGACAGGAAGAAGAGTGTCTGCAAACGTGCACGTTAGGTGGAAAATCATCAAAGATTTCTTTATTATTTGGTCAACAGGTTGAAACGATGCTGTGATTCTCTTCTTACTGCTTTGCTGTAAGCTTACTGAGAAGTCCACTGCTCCCTCTCAGACATCTCCATACCTCCACAGGTATGTCACCTGGACCAGCTGCCTTTCCACTCCTCATCCTCTTCATAGCTTCCCTTCCCTCCTCCTTCCTAAGTCACTTCCTGACTCACCCACTGTCCTCCCTCGGTGCTCCTCAATCTCTCGTTTTCTGCACACTCCCATCACCTGTGAGCACATCTCCATTCCTGTCCCTGATCATCTCCAGCTGCTGCACATCCTTTCCAGCTCCATCTGTCAGCATGTAGCCACTCAGCACTGTTCTTTCCCCCCTTCACATACAACTCACTATAAGGCTTTTCCTTTGCCACGTCTTTCCTGTACGCCAAGTTTCCCAGTACTCCTGTCTGTATTTTGCACCTCCGGTCCCACTTTTTATTTGCCAATCTTTTTGGTAATCTCCTTTTAATATTTTCCTGCACTTCCTCATCCCTCCACCAAGTCTCTTTGTCCTCTTTCCTCTGTAGGACACACCCATCACCTTCATGACAGGTTCCTTCAGCAGCTGTACTGTTCCGGTATGTTTGCTGCCAGCCTGTCTCAACCTCTCCCTGAAATCTGTGCAGCATCCTTTATTCTTCATTTCCTACCATTGCATCCTTGCCTCTGCCCTCACTCGCTTCCTCTTGATTTCCAAAGTCGTGTCTGTCACGAGCTGTCACTCGTTACTCTACGCCCCGCCCTTGATACACGCCCACAACACAAAATCGTGGCCAAAAGATCTGAAACTGATAAAAAAGAAGAAGAAAAAATTGCAGCTGTAAAAAACAACAACAGAAAACAGACTCACACAAAGGATACTTCATTCAAAATAATTCATCTGTTTGTTTGTTTTACTTTTTAAATGTCAACAGATGGAAATCACTTTTCCAGATGAATAAAGCTTTTGATCCTAATTTAGTTCCATAGCAATGCGCCACATTTGACACGGCAGCAATACCCACGGCAGGCTGTAGCCAGTCTGTCCCCGGGGCCCATAGTGGGACCCATATCAGCTCTGTGGTACATCCGGCTTCGGTGGCCTTAAAGAGCTCGGTCTCACTCTCTAATCTATATAAATTAGCGAGGATTTGACACGTGCTGTGGGACCAGTTCCTAACACATGTTAAACAACAGCAGTTTTCAGACTCTTGCTTGTCGTGACACGGCTTCACTGTGAGTTTCCTTGTAGCTGCTGTAAAGTGAACCGCACTGTTATGGTGTTATTTTTGTGCCACTATTCTGAGCGCACGTAAAAAAAAGTTTGCAGGTGCAAGAATTGTATTTTGAGGAGAAATTTATTTCGAGTGAAGAAAAGCTGAATTTGAGTCAACAAAATTTATTCCTGCGTGCAAAAACTGCATTTCAGTGTTTGCTATTATCCACACACACACACACACACAACAGCAGCCCCTCTCGCTCAATTTTTGCATTTGCGCTCGCTCGCAATGTTTTTCTCGCGCTCTCAACATTTCTGCCCGTGCGCGCTCAACTCTTTCTCTACACCGTTATATTTGTGCCACAAAAACAGCCAATCACAGACTTGGATGCAAAAAAATCTGATTGGCTGTTTTGGTCTCCAATCAGCTCGAAATGACGAAATGCAATATCCCAGAATGCATTTCGTCCAAAACTCAAACGAGGCAGTGGCGGAGGAGCACAGAGTGGCAGAGTTTGAAATATTACTCTGTCTGGGTCACAAAATAAACTTTAAAGATATTTTCATGCGAGAATGGTGCTGAGTAAACTTCAAATACCTGCTCGATTCATCAAGACATCACATATTTGTATAAGTGCTCTAACGTTTTCGGAGATGCCTGGCACAAAAATAACGCCATACACTGTAGCTTCACCTGGAAGTGATCACACTGACCGGAACAACAAGATGGCGAGGACTGTGGTGCTTCGGGTAGGCGAAAACAAAACACAACCTGTCGCTCGCGTTGACGCTGAAGCTTGTAACGAAGAAAGCAGCTGATGTGTGTTTGTGTGAGTGATGGGCGAGGTGGGCGCCCACAGGCAGGGATGAGCGTAGTCACGGGAATCGTGGACGTTTCACTATGTAGCCCTGATGCTAACACAGGCTAGCCAGTCTCTGCTAGCTCCCAACAAACCGCTGTTATTATAAGTTAATGCGCCTAAAGCTCGCACACTGTCTTGATGTACTACGTGTTGTATGTGGCAGACATGAGTGTGAGGTATGGTGTAAGAAACATAATAAATAGTTTCCGTGGGGATCTTAAACCAAACTGCTAATCGAAAAAACTACATACACCCGATTAGCCAAAAGTTATCGCGAGGCTGTGAGTTAAACACGATGTATACAAACACGTTAAAACATCCGGGTTTTCATTTTATTAGTAACGAGATTACAGAAACTTTGCTTTCATGTCGTGTTAAATATTCCTGATCCAGGGCTCGCTCACCGCGTCTGTATCGTCACACTGTCGTGGGTTCACTCACCGTGGACGTGACACTGAAACAAGACCCTGGATAAAGGACAAACTAAGCTGGGCACTTGGCCGTGCTGTTGTGTGTATGTTGTGTTGCCGTGGGTATGTTGTGTGTTCGTCTTCAGTTCTGAGAAACTAGAATCAGTTGTGTTTGTTCAGCGGATGAAATCAGGTTTCTCCGTCTGTCACTTTCATTCAAACAAACATTTAAACTCGCTTTTGAAAGTTCAAATGGATTCATTAAAAACACAATGAAATACACGATTGAAGTACTTTTCTTACGCTCTAGTTTTCAGTTCAAACATATAATAAATCCACATTGTAATAATAAACTTTGACATTTGATCTTTTTCAACTGCAAATTAAATCATCAAAGTTAAACTTCATCAAATCTGTTTAATTCAGTCAGATAGTTCTGTTTTGTCAAACACACCAACACTGTATCTGTCATAAATGTTGCCATCGACAGTTTGAAATGACATGCAGTTTATTCCTGATGATACAGCAGCTGTGATAAATCACTACAACATGTTGTTGTCACGTAGAGACAAATTCATATGAAGATATTACTGCTTATTATTGCTGTGAAGCCTTCTTCTTATAACCAGAGCAGCTGCTCAGTCGAATCCTCTTGAGTTGTCCTTGTTGATAAAGACTCATTCTTTGGAAATCTGCCTGCATTTATAAATTAGACCTTTTAACCAGTCAGTCTAAGCAGCTGTGTCCAGAAAGGTTGCCTCTGGTGAGATGGGCCTTCTCGTTTAGTAGTCAAAGTCAGCTTTATTGTCAAAGATCATATGTACAGTCGTACACAGGAATTTGGAGTTGCAATGCTCCCCCAGTGTACACTAAAAATACAAAGATAGAGAAGGAAATAAAAATAAAATAAAAAGTTTTATGTACAACACAATACAACACTACACAATTATTTAAACAGCAGTGTCCAACACAATCATAGTGATTGTGGGCAAGTTTGTGTGCAGTGGGAGTGGGGCAGTCAATGAAAGGGTGATGGTGGTGGGTCAGTTTGTATGTTTGGGGGGTGGGGGGGGGGGGGGGCCCAAGGGGAAGAGGTGCATGCAGGTCTGGAGATCATGTGTGAGAGCAGGGAGTGAATTCAGCATCCGATTGACCTGTGGCGTGCCTGTATCGATAGAGTTAGGATTAGTGTTGCCACACAAAATATCACGTGACCTTACTTAAAGAAAAATGGAAGACCTACAGAATGAAGCGACGTAGGATTTTCATTTAGTACCTTAAGTGTATCTACTCTTCTTCTAATGAGTTCCAACCTCGGTGACCTCGACCTAAAGGTCAGAGTACGTTTTCTGGGAATCTTGGGAATGTGATAAGTTGAGGACGAGATGATGTAGGATGTTTTAAAGTTGATACCATAGAGTTGATGGACACTGATGGATTCCAGTAGTTTTTGTAAGAATGTGTTTTAAGCGGGAGATTAGATGAAGGATGATCAGCATGTTTAACGAACAGAAAAAAGACAATTACTGTGTGGATGTCACCTGCCTCTAGGGTTGGGAAACGAGGATTCCTTGGAATCGTTAGTCTGTCTGCCTACAGATCCCAGATATCAGTTCTTGCACCTCGCTACGATCAGCTGATTTCAGTTTGTGGAGGAGGAACACAGCAGCGCAGTCCGCAGCGTGGACATGACTTTTATTTTTATTGCACAAAAGGATGAGAGCGTGATGGTGAAGTGAGACTGCTCCAGGACAGAATCACACTGCTAACACAACTTCAGCTCTTTACAAGCACCTGCACAGACAACATGCTAATGCTAAGCTAACCAAGATCCCAGAGTGACGTTAAAGCTGAGTAAATGCTGACCCCAGACCAGCACCGTGACAAAGTGAGCTGCTGCTGAACTTGAACAGGCAGCAAACTGATGAGCAGTCAGGCTGTAGGTTTCTACCTGTTGATGTTTCTACAGTAGAATCACTTTGAAGTGTCTTCGTGCTGGTTTCATTATGAAATGGGCGATATGGCCTGAAATCCATATCGCGATATAATTTGAAGCATGTGCGGTAACGATATATATCACGATATATTCTTTTCTTCTGTATAACGTATTTTCCACACTATAAGGCACACTTAAAATCCTTTAATTTTCTCAAAAATCAAAACTCGAACCGATTTTGGCTGCAGAAATCTGTTAAAAAATGTTTTAGTACAGCTTTGGTAAGCCGCACTGCTTGATGGATTGTCAGAGCATTACGGCTGCCGTAGTGAGGAGCTTCACGGAGTAATCTGGGTCCAAAACTCCGTCCATTTCAGGTCCCAAAGTCAAGCAAACACTGAGAACATTAATGAATCAATGTTACGGACGTGGAGGAAGCAGTTTTTGCCTTTCCCCATATTTCAAAAGTGCTTCATCTCTTTGCTGTGACTGTCGCCCGCCATAATTTGCAGATGATAATGGTTGTAGCCGCTGCGATGCTTTCGACCAAAACAGGCGCAGCTTGATGACATCATCAACATGCGCTATCGCGATAGAGCGGTATAGTCAAAATCTATCGTTGGCCAAATTTATATCGTTTCTATTGCCCACCCCAAGTTTCATACATAAACACTCAGAGAAAGATCACGAGTGTCCTCATCAGGATCTGTGTTGGTGTGTGGGGCTGTAGCCTCAGGTTATCTTGTTAAACGGTGATTATGAGACAGTGTGTTTCAGCTTATTTTACAGAGTAACATGAAAGTAATGTTATGAGTAGTATATATCAGATTTGTTATATCCTCAGCTCCCATCCCTCTGCTGTGGCAGAAATGTCCTGTTTTGTCTCTGCTTGATAACCATGTAAGCTGAAGCTTGCTGTGTGTTCCACACATGATGACATGTGACTAGTTTAGTGACACAAACGAACACTTTGTTCAGTAAAAACAAGCTGGTGTTGAACTTGTTGGGAAAATGTTTGAACCAGAGACACTGTGGAGTCCTCTCACAGCAGCCGGCTGTACGTCAGCTGATATGAATGAATTCACATATGATGTTATTATTCCAGTCAAACCTTGAGGCAACAACATGTTGATAAAACACCTGCAGTTATAATATTGTAAAGTACTAATAAAAGGGCCTCTTTTGCTTTTTTATGCAGCATTATTCTAAAATGTTATTGCACGCTCAGACCTACATCACACAGTTGTGTTTCTCTCAGTGCATCAGTGTGACTGTAGAAAACTCTTTTGTTTTTATTTTATGCTAATATTCAGTCATTTACCGTCGAGACTTGTTACTGGGCTCAGTATCAGTCTGTCTCTGCTTACGTATGAAGGAGCTGTGTTACCAGTCCGTCTCCAACCATCACTGCTGCTTGTTCTCTGTTGATTGAAGGCTAACCATAGTAAATACGCATTCATTTCTCTATGTTAAACAGGAGTAAGTTCTGTAACACAGACGGGTGAAGCAGCCGTGTGTCCCCACATCCACCATGAATCTCCAGCAGCCAGCCCCTCTCATCCCCCCCGTCCACCCTGATGTGCAGATGAAGCCTCTTCCCTTCTACGATGTGCTGGATGTTCTGATCAAACCTTCAAGTCTAGGTCTGCTTTCACTTTGTTTTCAACACTGAAAGTCAAATGTTTTATTGGATAATACGATAAGAAATGTCGGCTTTTACTCGTGTAAACTGAGCCCAGTGTAGAGCACAGATAAACCATTGCAGGGTGTCAGACTTCCTGTTCCATGACCTCTTCACAGCAGGTGGATGAACTGCGTCATTTCCTGTGAATTAGAAGCTTTCTCGAGCTTCTCCAGTGTTAGTGCTGCTCGTGGTCAGTTAGGTTACATCGAGGGTAGCAGGGATGATGTTTGGCGCCCTCACGCTCACCGCGCCGCTTAGTTTGACATCACATCATGTGTCACAAGACACAAACTTGTGGTGTGTCGTTTAGAAGGTAGGCTGATAATTCTTAGATCAGTTCACTGAATTTAACCTTCATACCAACTTTAAACCGTCTGATATAAAGACAGTGCAGAGGATGGAAATCAGCCAGGACGGCTCAGGAAACATCTGCTCACATCTGGTTGAATTCAGGTGTGTACATCCACCAAGAGCAGCAGGTCAGCTGATCACACCCTGAACACTAAGGAAATCTACTGTAGTATTGTTACACGCTGACGCCCACCTCAAACCCTGACTGTACTCTTTGAGCTGTTCAGGTGTGGCGTCACCTCTACAACAGGAAATAGAGCTCGTTTAAAATAATCCTCCTTGTCTCTGCTCATGTTCGACTGATTCAAACTGACTACGTTCATTAGAATTCAGACTGAGATGTAACGTTTGCATTCCTGATATCATTTTACTGTTGCATGACATTCAGGTAGCTTTGCACAAGAACAGCTGGTAGAAACAGTACTTTAACAAGAGTACTTACTTATTACGAGTGTGCACTTCTGCTTAAGTAACTTGTGTCACCTCTGGGTATGAATGTGGTCAGACTGGATCTGTGTGTTGATCTGCATGCCTGCCTCAGGTGGCAGACTTCACCTACAGTTCAGAGAGGTATAGCAGTGCATCAGGTCTCCGGGTGTTCATCTCCACAGTGGGGTGTAATCCAGACCTTATCTACATGTTGCAAGAATGAGGGAAAAACCTTTGAACCTTTCAGTTTTGCGTTTCCTTCCGTACATATAAAGCACCTTGAGGCAGCTGTTGTTGTGTTCTGGCTCTTTATAAATAAAACTGAATTGAAGAGCAGTGCTGATGTGGGCTTTTAGTGTGAGACTCCTGTCGTTCAGGAGAATACTGCAGTGAGTATTTTATACCCGCAGTACTACTTTAAATGGTCCAAACTAGGGCGTTGAAGCA